CAGTATCGCAATATATCGGGATATATCGCATCGTGACCCGTCTGTCATGATATGTATCGTATCGCCAAATTCTTGCCAATACACAGCCCTACAACCCAGTGGTTCCCAAACTTTTTAGCTTTTGACTTATTTGATAACAGCAGCAGAGACCTGTGCCTCCAGGTACTTTTGGGTTTTAAACATTGGTATCCAGTCAATTAAACAAACACTTAGTAACAATATTCATTATGCTATGTTGTTATTTAGTCATCTTTTGAATGTAATAAATTCATAAAGTCATTTCAAGACCTCACCTTGATATTTCAGGACCCACAGTAGAGTCCCGACCCCAGCTTTTGGGAACCAATGCCCTAACCCACTGGTTCCCAACCCCGGTCCTAGAGCAGGGGTGGGCAATCCTGCTGCACCTGATTCAGTCACTGAATTGCCTCATCCAAGCTCCGCAGAAGCCTGATAATCACCCGTTCATTCAAATCAGGCGTGTTGAAGCAGAGAAACAAGTAGAACATGCAGGGCTGCGGCCCTCGAGGACCAGGATTGCCCACCCCTGTCCTAGAGGATCACTATCATGCATATTTTAGGTGAACGGATTTGATTTGATAGACCTGATTTGTATGAAAGAATCTAAATCTGAAGAGCAGCTGAGGAGCAGAGAAACAAGGTCTGAATGCTCTCAGGACATAACTGGGATGAATTTTCCCAGACCTTTCAGTGGAGTTCAAATTAGGGTTGACTCTGGGTTATTTTGGCTTTAAGTGTTGTATTCATCAGCTATGTTAACTTAAAGCTGTCGGGTTGTAAACACTGAGTATAGTTTACTAAAATATTCTAAAATTGCAGTTTTTYCCCTAAAAACGAAGACAACAAAGCCAAAATGTTATTTTCAAATCCTTATTTCTAAATCTGAGTTTTTAGCGGTATAAATCACAGCATTCTACTTGATTACTTTCTCTCTTCTCACATTTTYAAAAGACTATAGCAGACGTTTTGCTGATGTTGTTGGTGCTGTCAGTTACCTAASAGCTCTTCTCCATTTTAGTTTTGTTTTCTGTTTTCAAGTCGCTCAAACATCCTCTCATCGTTCAGTCYGGTCATTTTGTCTGAGACTCGGTGGCGACGGTGTCACGTGCTTAGCCTCTTTTCAGACTAGTTGTTCAAATATAAAGACCAATAATTCTTTTAACTGAAGTATAACCATGTGTATCACAATTTGCATAAAAATCTAATAGTATTTTTGCTTTAAACCTAACGTTCCTCCTGAAAAWTTTTCATAAATTTGATGTACGAGTTAAAAATGAATATTGCTTTTTCAGTTTTTCTTTTTRAAAGGCTAGATTGTTAAAAAAACATATGAAACAGTATAATCTGTATCCATATAATTTGTTGTTCTAGAAAGATTAGATGTTTTTGTTTTAAGTGAAGATTAACAATGTTTGAATTTATACTTGAGGAAAAAGACGTGGATGTTATAAGATTTTTTTCTTCACTCTGCTGCCTTTCATTTAATTTTATTTGTATTTTCTTTTTTTTAATTGTACATAGAATTACTTTTGTTTTTTTAAAGAAATGAATAAAATTTGAAATAATTTTTTTTTAAACTTCAGAAATTTCCAGCTGTACTTGACCACAAACACTGACCTTTTTACCGACAACTTCAAAGCTGTGTTTGTTAATAAAAACGGAAGTGAGGAGAAATATGACGTTCAGCTTCAGAACTACTTCACTGGACACGTCGTTGGTGAGTTGGTGGGGGCATTTCTCCTGAAATTTTAACTACACTGTGTTTCTTAGAGCAAAAAGTATGATTTTAAAATTCTTTTAGGCGAGGAGAACTCCCGAGTGCAGGCACACATGGACGGAGATGAGTTTTCTGCTCATATTCTGACAGATGAAGCAGAATATAATGTAGAGGTAAACACCTGAGGGTCTTAAGAGCTTCTGTCTTCTTTAAGTCTGAATAAATTCRCTGTGATTTTTGTATAATTAGTTGGGTTTTGCTTTATTAGATAATGATAATTTAATATTTTCAGGTCTTATGGATCTTCATATAAATATGGAAAAGCAAACAATATGTGGGATCTGTTCTCTTGATCTTTAACAGTTTCTTTATTATATTCCTTAAATCCTGACTTTGTTTTTAGCATTTCTGCTCCCATCTTGTTTTATAGTATTTATTTATTTTTTACTATTTGTCTTTTTTGGTTTGAGAACCTCTCTGATGCAGTCTCTTCCTTTTGTTTTTGTGGGGGTCCAGCCTTTGTGGAGGTTTACAGACTCCCCAGTTGACGGCCGGTTGCTGGTTTATCGATCAGAAGACATCAAGAACCTGAGCAGAATCGTGTCTCCCAAAGTGTGCGGCTACATCAGTGCAGATGTAGAGAACCTCCTGCCTGAGAATACCAGAAGCAGATGGGAAAGGCATAAGGAGGCGGACCTCAGAAACGGTGAGTTCTGCTGTTTATTTGGCTGGAAACAGAGGGTGTCTGAATGAAGGTGCATGTTTGTCCAACCAAGTCCTGTCTTTTTACATGGCAAAGTATAGGAGAAAAATATTCAGCCGTGTGTTTCATAAACCCACTCTTTATCATGTATCTACATACTGTAGACGTTATGTTGAAAACCAAGTGTTTAATCTTTCTGCGCTGCGTTGGAAACGTTGAGCCTGTCGCTGTTTATGTGTGAGAGGAGATATCTGCAACACCTCTCACTGGTTTCTGGTTGGATGAGTTGAGGTGAAGGTTCATATGGAGGAAGCATTAAAATTCATGAAGCCTCTGCTGCGGCAGAACGATGGGTCTGAGTCAGCACTGGCCTCCCACATCTTATTGTGAAGGACGGAGCAGAGCTCTCCCACTCTCCTGAGTAACAGAGAGCCAAGTGCTGCGTGTGATGTAATGCTCAGAATGCTTTCAGCTTACTGTAGCGAGTGTTCGAAGAGTTTGCTGTGCAGTAAATTATTTTGACTCGGAGTAATGTTTGCATCTATTAGAGTTTGTGACCAGTATGTGAGGGTAGGAACGTAGATTGAGGTTCACCTTGCAGCTCAGCTTCCTGTTCAGAGTCCATAATGCTGCAGAAGCTGCATCGATCCTTCTGTAGATCTCAGTCTTTCCTCACTCGTGAACAAAACCCTGAGATGCTTTAACTCCTCCACTTGAGCCAGAATCTCACTCCAATAATAGTCATCTTAAAAATTAATTTACAGACAATCTGTCTTGATGTAAGCTTATAAAACAGGGCTATTTAGCTAAATTGCTCCGGGGGCCACAGTTACTGCAGGTCAACAGCTCAGGGGCCAAACATCCAATAATTAAAATCATTATGTAAATAAACCAAGTATCAAAAAAGATCTGTTACTTTTGAAATAGTTTATTTTTCTGTATTTAATCATGAATACAACATACAGAACCCTATAAAAGTAGTGATAATTAAACAATATCAAAAACAAAAACGCATTATGCCTCATATTTGACACACAAAATATTTTGATATCTCTGACTTTCCAAATCTTTAAAACTAATTTTATTTTCACTTTCATAGTTTTATATTCAACTGCTTGTAATTGTAACTGTCTTGAGCGTTCATAAAAATGGTTTTCACCAGCTTGTAGCCAAGATTCTGACATTTCTGTAGATACCAAACATGTCTATGTTTAACTAAAAGAACTTGGAGTAATTAAAGTAGAAAACTGGGGGTTTGGGCTTAAGAGATGAACGAACCAATTGGCGGCCAAACTTTGGTCACTCGTGGGCCGGATGTGGCCCGCTGCCCGCCTGTTGAGTGGCCCTGTTATAAAATAAAGTCAGAATGTTCTCATTATCTGTGTAGAAACCCTACACCGAGAGAAAAGACAAGCCCACGACCATAAGAAGAACACGTGCACCCTGCTGCTGGTCGCAGACTACCGCTTCTACGAACACATGGGCCGCAAACAAGAGAGCGTCACCCTCAACTACCTGGTCTGACCTCACCACGCCACATTCACTTTGTTTTCTGCAGGAGGGCTGAAAAACTTGTATTGGCTATAATCGGTGACGTCATTTTGTTTCCTGGAACAGATCGAGCTGATTGATCGAGTCGATGACATCTACAGAAACACCTCCTGGAATGATGAGTTTAAGGATTACGGGGTCCAGATCCAGCAGGTGTGTATCTGGATCTACTTTTCCTCCCAAACCTTTTCGTTTTGTGCCTCAGCTTCGGTCATTAGTGGGAAAAAAAATAAAAATAGCTTCAATTTATTCAGCACCACTCCTGGAAACAAGGTTGAAAATAACACAGAGCTTAAGCCAGTTTGTAAAAAAATTACCTTTTTTAGAAAGACATGAGTTTTTTGTTTGTCTGGTAAAATAAAATTATTTATTCCATGTGATAACAAAAAGTGACTTAATTCTGTTTACCATAAATATAAAGAAGGATGTGAACTGTTGCATTGAGCTACAATCTAAATCCCAAACCAGATGGCTAATCTCCTTATCTCCTTTAAATATGCAGCTATAGATCAGAGTTTATGCTATTTTTAACAACCTACTGTTTGTGATGTATAATATGTTTATTACTGAGCTGTTTGTTCCATCTGTGGTTAAAAAATGTTTCAAATGCGTATCTTACTAACAGCACAGATAGATCATTCTGTCTACTTTCTTATTAATAGTTTAGACTTTTATCAGCAGCAGCTGCCCTTGAAGTGTTGTTTTCTGTTGTTCTCATCAGATTATTATTAATAAAGACTCGACACAGCCTCCCTCCGGCACCGCTGCCAAGGGCTGGGTCCACTACAACATGAAGGACAGTCCTGTTGAAGGAAAGGAMGTCTGGGACGTCAAGAAACTTCTGGAGGTGAGAAAGCAAAGAGAAACCTGTGTCCTGGTGCTTAAAGTTCAACATTTATTCAGTAAAAATCTTTAGACTTTGAGGCTTTAAATATTAAAATCAGTCATGAGTTGAGATTTTGAACCAATTTAAGATGCTGGTTTTAAAGATGTGAGCGAGTCAAACATGGTTTGATCGTAGCTTACTTCAAATGTACAGTCGGCACAAAAAAAATATTCTATTTTTCTGGTAAATTTTCTACAAGAAGAAAATGTTAAGTTTGTGGACTGTACAGCTGAAATAATGTTACAGCTCTGGAAAAAGTTAAGAGACCACTGCACAGTTCCCCTGTATTTGGTTGAAAGCATTCCACCAAATATTGATTTCTAAACTCTTCCTGAGTTAAAACATTAGTTTTGTTGTTTCTAAATGAATATGAACTTGTTTTCTTTACATTATTTAAGGTCTAAAAGCACTGCATCTTTGTCGTCATTTTGACCGTTTCTCATATTAATTTCTCATATTGTTTGTTGATGTTTAAATATGTACACACATGTACATGTGTATATGTGCTTTGTTATATATTATGTATAGTGTTTTTTTTTTCTCTTTATTTTGTCTCACCCTCTCCTGTATTGAGCTGTAGCAACATGCAAATTTCCCGACTGTGGGATCAATAAAGTTTTTTTTTTTATCTTATCTTATCTTCTGCAAATAAATAACTAAATTTTTGCTTGGAATTTCAGAGACATGTTGTCAGTAGTTCATAGAATAAAATAATGTTTGTTTTACTCAAACATATACCTATAGAGAGTAAAATCATAGAAACTCATCATTTTAAAGTGGTCTAATCTTTTCTAGAGCTGTATATTTCTTTGTTCTGATAAATCTTCAGCGTTCTCATTTTAGGTTTATTTCAGTCGTACAGTTCACAAAATGTAACGTTTTATGAACGCAGCAATGTGTGCGTTTTATTATACTGTAGTCAGAAACGTCTTTTCCCAATTAGCCAGTAAATCTGGTAAAGCTCAGATGTTCCAGCTTTTCAGCAGCCTTGCAAATCTTGTTGCTCGCTCCAYTCTTGAGACTAATTTATTTCCATATATGAGTAACTCCATTCATTTAAGATAATTGTTTGTTTGAGTTTAATGAGATTCATACTGAGGGTCTGWCAGGTTTGGAACATAAAGAAATGCTAACAGTTCATTCTCCTTGGTTCTAATAGCAATTCAGCTCAGACATCGCCGACAACGCCTCCACTGTGTGTCTGGCCCACCTCTTCACGTACCAGGATTTTGATCAGGGGACTTTAGGTCTGGCCTACGTTGCCCCGTCCAGACCTCACCCACTGGGTGGCCTCTGCTCAGAACGTAAGCATCAGACCCTGCTTGTACACGATGATGGATTGTCTTCCTGCACTTAACGAGTGCTGTGATGTCYGCTTATTAAAGTGAAGTTTAAGGCTGTAGATACAGTATTAAGAGTGTCTAAATTTAAAAAAGATACCCAAAATAACCCGAGATGTTTCTTGTGATTTTCGTCTTGTCGTAGCTTACTACCCGTCCCACACCACCAAGAAGCCCAGTTACCTGAACACCGGCCTGACCAGCACCAAGAACTACGGCAAAACCATCCTCACAAAGGTTTGTGCTCTAGATTTCAGCCAACACGTTACGCAACATGTCACTCGGCCAAGTTAAGACTCGGAGTGGAGCAGATGCATCTTTTGTGTGGGTGTCGTGGGTTCTGATGCYAGCTCGTTACAGTGGATTCATTTAGTTTCCTCATTTCAACGGTTCTTTATTGTTTCTCACGTTAAATGAACACGTTTTTTTCTAAAATAAGATTTTTCTGAGTTGACTCACTRCTCTGGCTCCACAGGAAGCAGATCTGGTGACGACTCACGAGTTGGGTCATAACTTTGGAGCAGAACACGACCCTGATAACATCCTCGACTGTGCTCCCAGTGACGACGACGGGGGGAAGTATGTCATGTACCCCATAGCTGTGAGCGGAGACCACGTCAACAACAAGGTACCCAGTTTAAAGCAAACCCCTGTGGTCAGATAGGAAATGTATTGGAGTTGTTACAGAAACCCTTTACTGCTGAGTCACAGTTGTTCCTGTGAAAAATGACACAGAAATGTGATGTCCCTCCTCCAGTGCCCTCCACAGCCCATATGCATACGACTCGATTCAGAGGATTTCTTCTTCTGTGCTTGGCCACTCTTAAAAGAGAAGAATCATTAGACCTGGGTTTTATCTGGTATAAATCAGTGAAGAACTTTATTTTATTTTTGCAATTTCTTAATATTAATTCCTAAAACAAACAACAAAAAAACAAAACAGTCATAAYTTAACTAAAACGAAGCAAAGAGAATAAAACAATCGTATTACATCTGCCTCCTTTTGAAATAAAAATCATAAAAAAACAGCATCAGGTCCTTCCTGTCTTGTTTGAACAAGGGTTTATGTTGATACATAACGTATTTTTCGGACTATAGGCCGCACCGGACTATAAGTCGCACCCGCCATTTAAAAAAAAAAATCCGCGAACATTAACATATAAGCCGCACCGGACTATAAGCTGCACCCCCAACATAAAAAAAAAACCAGTACACCCAAATTTGCCGTCAAAAAAGTGAATTCAACATCAAAACATAAAAAGCAAACCTTTAGGAATTAAAGTTCGGAGGAATACGGTTCATTTAACTGARCTTATTTTGGTAGTTTTCTTTAACAGTTTCTGGTCCAACAAAAATTCTCATTCATTGTCCTCCGGCGCACTGAAACCATCGAAGTCCTCTTCAGTGTCG